GCATATACGTACATACAGAGCACCACAAATGATCAGTCCTGCATTTAAGATAGTATGTGACTGTATTGATAGAAATAAATGAGTCAGATTTTTGAAAGAAAGAAAAAAGTGCGAACGGTGGATATCGCAGGTAGAAGTGGAAGTGAGGGAGAAGGAAGGCGGAGCTCTCCAGGCCGTTCTGCGGGACGGATCAGAGTCTGGCGGAGGGACAGCGACGCGAAGCCCGTTGCAGGCCCGTGTGGCCCCCGGGGACAGGACAGTGAGCTCAGGGTGGACACTCAGGAGGACTGGCTGGGGAGAGCAGAAGGAAGGGAGGACGCACTCTCGGTGCCTGTGCTGTATCTAAATGCACCTCTGTCCAGGATTTGCACCCAGGTCCCTAGCGAGAAAGTAACATGAGGCCAGTAACACAACTGCAGTCAGGGCAGAAGCAACAGCGGGAAACACACACACACACACACACACACACACACGTATCTCAGACACACGGATTTCTTTAAAAAAGAATGATTTTTCTTCCGTTAGTTTTTCATTTGTTTCTCTTGATGTTTCTGTTTTCTAGCTGTCATTTCACCTACCCGAGTAGCAGATAGCGTGCTGCTTCTGCTGTTCTGCACACAGCCCAAGCTGCAAACAGCCCCCTCGCCTGACCAGCTCCCAGGATGCACCCCCGCAGGCTGGGGGTGTCTCTCGGCTGAGGTGGGCGAGGTGCCAGGGTTCCAACCCGTCCAGCACCAGGAGGCCCACCGTCGCTCTGTTGCCTACTGCCAAGCTACAGGAAACTGCTTCAATTGGTGAGGAAAAAGTAGGCAAAGCAGCCCGGCTCTGCAAGCCCCTGACGTGTTGCCACCTCGGCAGCAGGACTGGACCCCCGAGAAGGCTCAGGACTCCACCCACCGAGGAGGCCCAAGAAAATCCGGATGAAGAATGAACAGGTGGGGAAAACTGAATGCTAAAGTGTGAATTTAAAATCATAAGAACATCAGCCAGGGCTGCCAGCTGGCAACAGGGATGATCCACACGGTGCCACCCTGTCTGAACTGCGTATGCAAAGCTCTCTGCCATCCCAGTTTTCTTTACTTTAACTTCAAGCCTGATTGACGTACTTTATTTTTCCTCTTAAAAGCCCTTGCTTGTTTTCTGCCCTGAGCTTGTTTTCTACCCTGACCCAAACATTGCTCACAGTTAATGGAGCAGACAACAGATTACATCATGTAGTTTAAAGACACTAGGCAGGGAATGGAGCGCATGCCTGTAATCCTAGCACTTGGGAGCCTGAGGCAGAAAGACCCTCAGGAGTTTGGGGCCAGCCTGAACTACATAGTGAGAAACAAAAGATTCTCATAGTTGAATTCTTCTAATAATCCACATAAAATCCACTAAGGCCTTTAGTTAAGGGCAAATACTCATTTCTTTAAAATATTTGCTTTTAAAAGGAAACAATATTTGTGTGGGTAACACATTCATGACAGGGCCGTAATTCTGAAGTCTTGCTGCTGGGCAGCGCCAAACCACTGGTGTCGTGTGTGACTGTCCATCGATCGGGTGGCCCTGGACAGGCCCTGGGGAATGGTTCCAAGGGACCAGAGGAGGTACAAGATGGGGGAATTACAGCCCCAAGGGAGAGGATGTGCAGGCAGTGCACATGCCTCCCTGCCATGGCGCACACACCCCTCCTGTGACATGCACACCCCTCCTGTGGCACACACCCCCCTCCTGTGGCACACATACCCCTCCTGTGGCATGCACAACCCTCCTGTGGCAGGTGAGTAGCTTTCTTCAACGGACGGCTGGTTAGCTGCCTTGAGCAGCAGTGCTCCACTCCTCAAACTACCCTGTCAGCGGTAAGTGTCCCGCTACGCACTGGTAATGTCATTTTCTTTAAACTACTCTGGTACTGCTGGCCTCAAGCCATCACAGACACAGCTGATGTTAAATTTCCAAGGCCACGGACGATTATGCTGGCAACCCTGGTAAATGTTTGCAGTCAGTCAATTTGGAAGTCTAAACCCACTGACATCAAGGACTGTGGTTTCAAGCTTTCACACTTGCTGTCCGGTGCTTCGGCTTGAAGCGTCAGGGGCCGGCATCCACCTGCCCGAAGCAGGGTAATCCGTGACCGCACAAGAGCAAGCCACAGACACCTGAGTGACGAGTGGGCGCCAGGCAGTTCCGGTCGGCACGCAACTCGGGCCTCGCTGGACACCGCAAGCGGCCACCGCCTCACAGCTGCCAGGCAGTGAGGGCTGTGGGCTTCCGGATGGCACAGCTGCGGGCCGCTGGGCCAGGCTGTGAGAAACCAGGGCCTCTACCTGGGCGTCCGCGGGCCCCATGGACTCCAGGGGGTGCGATTGTGCAGTGCCCAACACACACTCCCCAGCAGTCAACAGGGAGGAGCCCACAGAACACCCGAAGCTCATTCTTCAAGCTTTCAGGACATAGACGTTTGTTAAGCAGCTTTGCCACAGCTCCTGAATGGTCAAAATTGTTCTACTGTGAAAAAAATTAACACTGAGAAATCTTGGAAAGAGTTTTCTATGTGCTTTTCTGGAAAATAAATAAAATAAACCTCCCTGTAAGTAGAACCTGGCCAGGTCAAAACGGAAGGAAAATGTGTGTATGCGATGTACTCATGAGTTTCCCACTTGAAACTTTGTGTTCATTTTGATAACTCCTTTGGACTTCCATATTTTCCAGCTTTTGCTAGATTTATGGCCAGAATTTTATAGTCATTTGAGCTTTACCGTATTATGGTTTCCCGAGTTTATGTGTGGCCCAGGAGGCAGGGAAAGCCTGTAACAAGGCCCTGTGTGGCCCAGAAGGCTCCTCGCCTGGACTTCTGCGGAATGGTGTTACTTTGTTTCCTCTGAATTCTTTTCGGTGTAAATGTGAGACACACAAAATAACATGTCAAAACACATTATCTGCAAAGTTTTCCAACTACTTAGCCCATTTATATTTAAAAGCTTAATAGAACCTTGAACTTTCTTCAAATGCAAAGCAAAATAAATATAGAAATAGCACTGTTACCGAAACAAAGAGAATCACACACACACACACACACACACACACACACACACACACACGGGTAATCTGGCATTGCTGAGACTGAAAGGCAACTAAAGCTAAATCAGAAAATCACTGCAGAAACTGTAAGTAAAACTGAATGGAGAAAATAAAGTGCTGTTCAAGACAATTGTTCATTTTCTATTTTCTTCTTTTCCTCGTGTGGAGTTGGCCTTCTCTCTCTCCTCTGATTTTCCCCTTTGGAAATCTTCAATATAAACCAGGTAAGCTTCTACAAGTTTATACATGCATAAATAAATTGTAGAAAGCTCTCTAATCTTGTATTAAAAATAAAACAGCAAAGCAATAAAAAATAGTATGGTGTTCTTAACAAATACTAAAGATTATTTCAAAATCAGTTCCAAAATTGTACCATGTATAATTTTTAACCAGGGAAATTAGTAGAACACCAATATAGTTCTAAACTGGGTAAAATTAAATTTCACAACTGAGCTGTGTGTGATCATCATATGGATATGCAAGTTTGATTCATTATGGCTTATTTGATTAGTATCTGATCTATATATTCAAAGCATCTTATACCAATGGAGCTTTCTGCAATAGTATTTCCCATTCAGTTCATCACATTGACCTTAAGATTCTAGACACTCTTAAGCTTTTCAACTACATTTTCCAATAAGAATTTTTTATATTCCTATAATAATTTCCAAAATGTGAGAGTATCTATAGACAAATGCAAGGTTTTTAAAAAATAAATTTGATGAAATAATGAAAAAACTCTTAACACTTATTTGGAAGCAATACAGCTTACAGATGTACTGCATGCCATGGGATGTTTTCTTTACTGTCTAAATACAATCAAGGTTATTTTCTTATGCTATCTATGGCTGGACAGGTGAAAGAGAAACATTTTTAGATTTTATTGTTTTAGATTTTATCTTAGATTTTCAGATCTCATAATCATTCATAGCATAACCAATTTAAGATTTTTTCTTTGCCCTTTGTTTTTCTCTTTGTCCACTTGTCTCTTTAGTCTCTTCTATACTTTGTTTATTTCCCACACCTATAATTATTTTAGGAATGTATTTGTTATAGACTGAGTACTCTTTGATCCTAGGATTTTGATTATTTCAGCTACTCGTTAGACATTTTACTACAATGAGTAAACAAGTCGTGCCTGAGTTAGCTTTTGCCGATTAAGTATTAGAATTCGCCAGAGTCGCAGGAGAAGGGTCACTGTTGGCAGTAAGCAGAGGAAGCGGATATCAATTTGCCCTGGGATCACCAAATTAAGTGATTTGATGATCGAAAAAAATCACAGTCCTTGCCCCCCAGGAATCCTTTGTAATTTGAATACAACTCTGTCTGGTTTGTGGAAGGCAGGTTGGACAAAGGGTCAAGATGATCTCAGCTGGTTAACCCCACACAGTGTTAATCATAATCTTACAGTAAAAGGAACTAAGAGCTACTGGTTATGCATGGCAGACAATGACACATCAAACATTAACAGGTCATGCAGTGCATTTAGCATAGCTAGCAATGATTTAACAATAAAAGAGAATTGGTAAGATTGGGTGCCAATGGTGTATTTATATATCTAGGATCCTGATATATATATGGAGCAAAGTTAAAAATAGAAACCAGTACAAGTCAAACTCTGGTGGCCTCAGAAACTAGGATACTTAGACATATTCAAATAAGGCAATTACTAGAAAGCAGGCCTGTTAATTCTGAGATTGAAGTACCTAGCTGCAGGTGATAGCCAACCTAGTGACATTTTGATCTGTATGACTAGCAGGACCCAAGGTGTTACAGTGACTTTACACTACATTTGTTTCAATGAATCAGTAAGGTTATGAAATATGATCAGCAATAGGATCAGCATTTCTATTTCCAAATTTCTGGAGTTGTCTAGCGGGCAGAGAAAAAGAGAGAGAGAGGAGAGAGAGTTTTATAATCATGAATTGACTCACATAATTGTGGAGACGGACGGGAATGCCAAGAAGATCGGCAGCTGTCCTCGGGACACCTGCAGAACTGGTAGCAAAGCTCTAGCCTTCGTTCCAATGCCTGGGAACCAGGAGGGCAGAGGGTGTCCTTCAAGCCTGCGGAGTGAGGACGGAGAAAGCCAATATGTAGCTGGAGTCTGAATGCCTGCAGGTTCAAGAAGCAGAAAGATTGGATGTTTCAGTTCAAGTCCAAAGAAGAAGACCAAACAAGCAAACAAACCCCACAAAGACAACCCTGCCCACGTCCAGCAGAAGAATCTCCCTCCCACTTGTGAGTAGGTCAGGCCTTGATTCCAGACAGGATGGGGCCCACGAACACCAGGGAGGCCAGCTGCCTGTCTCAGTCCACCCACCCCAGCCCCCAGCCCCACTGGCGGCCGCTCCAGATGTGTACAGAGTAATGACCAACCACACCTGGCCGCAGGCTGGCATAGACAGCATCACAGTGGCCCTGTCTGCCCATCCTGCTCAGCACACAGCTCACTGAGGCCGACTGCACTTCCACGCATTTGTACCCCAGTGCCTGGGGAGCTCAGGCTGGGCAGAGGTGCAGACGGGAGAATCCCAAGTTCCAGGCTCCGCTCACCAACAGTATACCGGGACTAGCTAGGGAGTCCCATGGATTAAACCATGGCAGTGGCTGATAACATTTTCCATCCAACCCTGAGTATGTTAATAAAGTTAACAAGTCAGAAGGAGGCATGCACGTGCTCATGGAAGGAGCCTGGGGCGTGGTGCAGGGGCCCCACCCCACTGACCCCCACGCAGCCCCGCTGAGTGGGGGGCCGGCAGCGCTCTCCTCTGCACACAAGGGCTGGCCACACTTTCACTTATCAACACTAAGGAAATGAGCACGTGCAAGGTACACTTGACACTTTGTGATTTTATTGCAAGTGAAGTCACAGAGCGGCAAGAACTCGATATACAGTAGTACAGACCATGCCTTCCTTGTGGGGACCCAGACATGTGGTCTAAGGTGACCCTTACAAACACCCCAGAGAGAACCTCAAAACTGAATAAGCTCATTGACCAAAATACAGCACGAGGTGATAACTTTAGGTTACCCGTAAATAACAGACACACATAAAAAATAATTAGGTTTGAACATGTAATCTAGAGAAAAGAATGGAATGTTTTCTCAAAAAATATGCATAAATCTGAAAGGAATTTAGCTAAAGCTCAGATTTACTTATTTTAAGAAGCACTTACTTTACAATATAGAATACTTATATTTGTACTGATAAGGAGCAGTGCCACAGTAGCACTGGCATCTCATTTCATATTTTGCTCGATTGGCTTCTTTCAAAATGAGGTAGTAATCTCTTCCATGGTGCCAATATTATTCTCAAATTTTATTATAAAGACATTTGCACTACAAGGACGTTGAACAGTGTAGCAAGCTCCGCTATAAACATACTTGGGTTCTGCAATTAATCTCTTTGTATTTACTCTATCACACATTTGTGAATTCCTACTTATCCATCTGACTTAAGAAATTGGTTTTCAAAGGCAAAAATACCAATATCCTGCTAGGCACATTAGCAGGATACACTTGTCTTTATTTTCTGTTAAAGAGATAACCCTAATTAGCACAACTCACTTGTACTGTCCCCTCTTCACCAGGAAGCTTACAGACTTCCTCAGAGCTGAGTGCTAATGAGGACACGGCATTAGTGTTAATCTCCCTGATGGTCCATCAGTTATTTTCTTTACCATGAGTCTGTATTAAACCCCCAATAATACTGAGCCATACTAAGCTTACTGGATTTTAAAGAAATAATTTTATTCTCTAGAATAGAAAGTACTAAAAAAACCTCTCTTGAGAAAAACAAGTCTCTTGAAGGCCTGTGGTCTTGACTGTATTTTAATTCAACATTAAATATTTTGAGAACGCGTCTTAGTGTAGGAGCAGGCCTCAGCCCTGAGGTGCTGTCACTTTTCCTCCCAACGCCCTTGCCTAGAAGTGGCCCATGTTCATGCAGCGTGGAGGACGCCAGGCAAGGTCAAAATGCGGACATTTCTGGGCCAGGGCTTTAGCTTGGTGCCACTGCACCTGCCTTGCAAGTGCAAGGACCTGAGTTTGATCCCTGGTACCAAAAAAAATTGTAGACATTTCTTTATTAAAAGGACCCACCTGTTCACCACACTAAACAAAGGGATCAGCACACCAGACAACAAAGACAGCCACGCCACGGGAGTGTCCTATAGAGTAGACATTTCATGGCAATTCCCACAAGAAACACCCCACAGCAGTGAGTTAAACGCTCTCGGTTTGAAGCAAAGATGCCATTAAAGCGGAGCACTGCAGCCCCCAAACGGAAGAGCTGCTGCATAATGGTTTACGTTCCTCCTTCTGGAGATAAAGCCGGTAAGTCAGCAGCCCCTGTGCAGGAAGCCTCGGGAGCCAACGCCAAACCAGTACAGAAAGGCGCCCTCATCAGCGACACTAAAAATGGGTGCACGGATCTAAGTCTCTAATCTGGCTGTTCTGTTTATAAGATTAAAAAGTCGTTCTTATGTTTTAGATGCACAAGCAAAGGAAATACTAAAAGTGTGGCAGTTATGCACAAAATATAAAAAGGCCGCACTTTTGATGACCCCTGCATTTATGATACGTCACCTGCGTGAAAGATTCCGACTGTCCTTCAGAAGAGTCCGATCCATCGTCACAAAGGAACCTGCATCCCTGAAAAGCGGCTTTTCCAAGCGGGCACCGTGGGCTGCTCACCTCCGTCCTCCTGATGCCTCCCCACAGCCAGCGGGAGCCTCCCTTGCTGTGTCTGGGGGTCTTGGCACCTGGTTCCAAGGTGCCCTTCCACTTCCCTTGCCCTTTTATTTTCTAAGACTTATCAATAAATTCAGTGAAACCCTAAATTTCCCGCTGTCCATGCAGCAACAGTGTTGGAGGAAACAACAAATAACCACCGAGGGTCCGGGCCTGAGCTCTGCCCACTCGGCAATCCCGGCATCGGCCACCTCGGCCACCAACGCTCTCAGCTTCGCCTCTGGCCCAAGGCTGCGCCTCCGTCCCAGGCCGCCGTGGCTCCTCTCACTAGGCACCCGTCACTCACAGGCTGCCCTGGTCTGTTCCCCCACGGAGCCCGCTCTTCCAGCTCACCCGTGTTCGCTTCCCGTGAAGAGCGGGGGGGGGGGGGCTGTGCTTTCCGGGGAACTCACAACCGGATGGACCGGCGAGGGGCTGTGGGAGCTGCAGTGTCCAGGGCTCCCGCCCAAAGTCCCACGCAGACAGTCGCAGAGTGAGGACCGGAGACCCGGAGGGAAGGCTCCACCCGTCCACACTTCAGGGTCACCCACTGTCGCACTGGCTCCCAGCCTCAATTCCCCTCCACACCCGAGGCCTGAGGCGTCCACGGCCTGATTCCTGGACCGGAGCTAGGTTTTCCCAGCTCCCTTCCCGCTGCCTCTCTCAGTCCTCTGCATCCCCCTCTGAAGGCGTCCTGCAGAGTTAATCCTGCGGGCAGCTGCAGCCCTTTGCTGTTCGGTTCTCAGGGTCCCTCGATCTGATCCAAAGCTCCGTTTGGGTTTTTCCTTTCGCTAGTGCCTTGCTGTGACTAAGGTGCTGCCCTGCTCTCCTCCATCACCAGTGCGCTCACCCAACCTTGCGTGCATGGTGTCCCAGTGCCAGAAGTGATGTGGTGCAGGTGGAGAGCAAACCCTGTGTGGGCAGCACGGAGGGGACAGGGGTGGAGGGAGGGCAGGTGTCCCCCCCCTCGAGTGTCTGCCCACAGAGGACGTCAGAGCCTCGGGAGGTGGAGGAAGGAAGCAGGACAGGCAGGAGGGAAGGGGAGGGGAGGAAGGGACCAGTTGGGGCCCGGTGAGTATCTCCCGAGGTGCCTCACCCACCACAGCTCCCCGAACCACACAGCTTCCGAATAAAGGCTGAACTGCTGGCTTACAAAATGGCAGACAATAATGTTGACAGTAATGGCTCGATTCTCTGAGCAGCTTGGCTAAAATTGAGTTTTCAAGCCTAGCCACCCAATGCCAGACTATGCACTGATTTGGTAAAAATCAAAACATAAAGCACTGGATAAATGGGGGGAAATAAGTGTATCCTGCCCCACAGGTAAGAAAGAAAGTGATGTGGTTATGTGATCGCGTGCGCAGGAAGATGGGCTGCACTGCTGGCACCTCTAGGGCTAGGGAGAGAGCAGGCCCGGAAGACACCTGGCCAGGTCAGGATGAGAAGAAGGGAGTCATCAGGTAAGGTAAATGAGCTCTGTGAGGCAGGGGAGCCACATAAAGTGCTGAGGAGCCAGAGATGGAATCGGGGTGAAAGAGAAAGATGGGGGGACCTCAGCCTGGAGGTCACCCTGCAGCCTGTGCCAGGCCTGTGGGGATGCCCAACCCTCCCCCAGGGAGCACCTCGGAAGCAGAGGCATGTCGGCGGCTGAGGCATCCGTCCCCAGATAAGCCAAGGGGACAAATGCACTGGAGAAGGACGGCCACTCAGCCAAGGGCCGGGAGGACAGGGCTGCAGGGAGTGCCTGGGACACCGCTGGAAAGAGACGAAGCTGACCGTGAGGCAGGCGGACCACACAAGGCAGGCTCTGCTCAGGAAGCGGGTGGTGCCAGGCCAGCAGCACGAGCCCAGCGCAGATGGCGCCAGGGTCCGGAAGGCTCAGGGCCACCAAGGCAGCGGAGGGAGGGCCCGGAGTCACACAAGTCGAGCTCCCATTTCACTCTCAGTTGTATCCTCTATCTTTTGTTTATCCTGTGGTCTTCAGCAGTGAAAGATCCGAAATGCTCAACTGATGCAGTTTCCACAAAGAAACTGAAGAGGAGAGTAGGCTCTTTCAGTGTGGCTCCCAGTGAATCTGTACCTCGGCTTGCTGCACAGCACTTCAAAACACTAGCGCATAAAGGCCTCACTGTGCAAGTACGCACAGGTGGAGAGGAAACCTGGCGTCACATTCCCATGGGAGAGCCACGGCCTCCCGGGGACCTCGCCCTGTGGGTGCCAGCTGTGCCATGTACCCGTGTGTTTCCCCTATGAATCACTGCAACAGCCGTCCTCCCAGGGAGAAACTGAGCTGCCCACGTAGGAATTACCTCCAGACCGGGATCCCCGGGTCCCCACCCTGCACCCAGCCACAGGCAGCCTCTCATCACAAGCCACCCTTG